GCACGCCTCGCGGCGGATGCGCAGCAGCAAGAAGGTTTCGGTCATCCCTTGAGGGTGAGTCTAGCCCTGCTCGCCAGAAAGACCCCCCCCTTCGCTACAACCCATGTCTAAGCAAAAGCTTGTCGAGGAGCGAGGGGAAGAAGGGAGGAGTAGGAGACATCAATTGCACTCCTCAATTCGAGTGATTCATGCTGAGAGGTTTTCGTTCGTGAGAGAGAGAATGTTCTATCGAAACGGTGCCGTCCGAGAAATGCTCAATCGGAGATTCCCCAACTACTGCAGTAGTTTTTGTAGCCTTGGTCAGTGTTCTGCGTTGTCGATTGGCTTAGTGAAAGCGGTCTTCCGATCTGAATGCTCGACATTTGTGGCTTCCAGCGCATACATACCCTAGGCCAATTGCTTGACTTAAAGGCATCCCACTATCGAGCACGAGGTCTCATTCACGGATCAACCCGAACCTGGACGAGGTGTCCAGGTGGCACCACTGTGCACTCGGCGGACACAGAAACCCCAACTCGTGAAAGGAGTACTTCATATAGCGGCGATACATTTGGCTTCTTCCTCGTGGGGCTGCTCTTGTGCTTGAGCGTTGGCGTGTGACCAGATGTTCGGGATTGAAACGTTCTGAGAAAAAAAATCTAACTGATCATTGATGAAGATATTTCGCGTGTGGTTTACCATCTACATGTAGGTGACCTAGCAAAGGAGTGCTACTTGTTTTCGTGCGAGCCCCCTCCAGAAAAAAGAAACATGCGAAACTCCGGAATAGCCAGAAATCAAAAAGCGCACGGTATAGCGATGGCGATCGCTCAGTCATGGCCGCAAGCATATCAAGTCAACACCAACAAGGACGCGTGAAGCCTTGCAATGGCTAAAAGGGAATCGGCGACGGTTCGCTACCAAGGAACGATGTGATTTGAACACCGTCCTACAGTTGTTTAACTGGAGAGCAAGGACCTTGTCTGCGTGGCGTCGTACTTGGGGTACCTTTCTTCTGGCCTTGATCTTGTCCATGAGAATGTGGTCAACGATGGACTTCTGCGCCTCCGTGAGCCCTCCAGGTTTGTGAAGCTTTTTCCTGTGTTTCATAAGATGTGCCTGGGAGAAAAGCGGAACGAAAGCAGCGGAGGGCGTGGGGTTCCGACGACCAACAACTCGAACGACAGCCGAGCGGAGCGTCGCGGTACCTGTCATCAAGTGCCACGCAGAACGACACGTCCAGAAAATACTCCGGGCACGTGCACCACGAGCGGAGGACTGAATTCCGAAGCGCGTTCACCGTAACCTAGAAAAAATGTGCTGGCGACGGCTTTGCATGGACGTATCGACAATGATTCAGTATGTTTGTTGCCCTTACCAGGTACATCGAGCTTCTACGGAACCTGCTTCATTTTTTCCGCACGGCGGAAGAGGCGAGAATCGTTCGAGTGCAAAACAAAAGAAGCGAAGCTTTCAAAACCACACCGATCGCATGCGCCTTGGCTGATCATATCCTTTTTCCAGGTGTACCGAACACAATCAACAACCCAGGCCAGGCCTTGCCCCCATGGCCACGGATAGCTGATAGTACCCGAACGGGTGCAGTCCCCAACGCACGAAGATGTTGACTTTCACACAAACACAGTCCCACATTGTTCAAAGACCCAGATCCCGGACAGAATTCTACGCCTGGCAATGTGTCTGAGATTGACGGCAGCAGAAGCCGCGTCTGGTCACGGTGACGGTAAACGGGTCCGCATGAGTTGGTACCTAGGTATCGCAGCAGATGTCTGCCCGCGATTGCAGACACTATTTGTCGTTCTAGTGCCACAGTCAACGTATCGCTACTGCACGATCGAAGGGTAAATGCACAACTCCGCATTGGCACAAAACAAAGGTTCGGAGGAACAAATAATTAATTTTTTCGTTTTGAATGTAGTCTATGGGGGGGTTTGGATGCCCCCCACCCTCCCCGAGAGGGAGACCCAAAAGCACAGAGCCGAAGCCACGAGACAACAGAAAGAAAGTGACCCAAACAGCCAGAAGGATATGGTGTGTGAAGTGGACGCAGCATGGTGATTGCAATGACGCATGGGCTCGGCCATACAAATATACCTATGTACTCCAGAGTAGTCTACACTCACACAGCGCATGACCTCGAGGACATGTGCACCTCACACGAAACCCTAACCGACCGTATGGATGCGGGTCTTGGCACACTGTGCGATCGTCTTTTAAAAAGTTTTCATTAACTGTTTTTCTATCGCACAGGGGTGCCAAGACGCCGATACGTGCCATGTACCCGATACCTGTGCGGGACATGAAATAAATGCTTGGTCCTGAGAATATAGCGCACACCCCCGTGCGATGACTCCGATGCGTGCGATTCTGAATAAGTATCGAGTGGCGAGCGGGGTGTTTTGAACGCGCACCCCCGCGCCAAGACTTCGATGTGTGCGATCCTGAACAAATCACAGCAGACATACACCAGCACTTCGTGTGCGTGTGCAGGTGTTGCAGCATCAGGACCACATAACGAACACAGACAGGCACAACAGCACACCACACCCCAAAACGCACAGAACACATGCAGCGAAATAAAATGCGGCGAAACNGTTGCAGCATCAGGACCACATAACGAACACAGACAGGCACAACAGCACACCACACCCCAAAACGCACAGAACACATGCAGCGAAATAAAATGCGGCGAAACACAAGTCCAAGGCGGCTAGGCGGCGAATTACCTTGAAATTCCCCAACACAGAGGTGTGCGCTCACACACACACCACACACAAGCAACACGTTGGCTACGATGTCAGGGTGAAAGCGCGGAGTCTGTGTTTTTCGTAGAACCGTAGTTGGTTGTGGTCGTGTGGTCGTGTGGTCACTTGTGGTTTGTACGCGTTCTTGGTTGATTGAGTAGAAACCGTTTGCCGATTCCGACAGAGATGACATTGTTGAACAACATCACTTGCACATGAGCAAAGTTACGATGCCAACGTGCAGCAGTGGAGCTCCTGATACAAGCTATGTACCTTGGTACAGTAGTGGCGGCCCACGACAAAAGCTGGAAACCATGGCATCACCCAACCTTGCCGAAGGTATCGGGGTCTCCGTGCACCCCTGTGCGAACTGAACGATACCTGTGCGAATATCAATTAAATCCCTTGAATTCCTATTTTTTTCCGCCCCCCCGACTATGAGCACTCGGATTGGGAAGGCCGAGTATTCCGTATACCTTCCTGAATCAACACGAAA